GCTGAAACACTGTGAACTTTCAATTGAAAGTTTCTGTAACTTCAAGGTCATACCTCCAATTATGCTTATAAGGTACTCATTCAGTTCTTTTATGCCTCTTTCCAAAATTCATTCCTATTTCTTTTCAAATCATTTCTATTTCATACACAACTCCTCACTCCTTTCTCCGAGTCTCCATGCCTCCTTACCTCACTCTTGATCTCATAGTGCTTTCTCCCCTTCATTTTAAGAATAACATCCAGATTCAGTCAGATATTGATGGTGTGCAGGTCTGTTTCCCATCTCTCTTTTCTCTACAGCACATATGCTGAATAAACCTTTTTTTTCTACCTCTCCTTAAAAAATAAAATAAAATAAAAATGACATATCTTTCATTGTGCTGAGGACCCTTGTGGCACAGTGGGTTAAGGATTGAATGGTCAACTCACAGGTCACCAGTCACTTTGCATGAGAAAGTGAGACAGTCTTCTTACGTAAAGGTTTACAGCCTTGTACACTTCAGCAGAAATTCTATTCTGTTCTACAGGTTCTCCATTAATGGGAATTGACTCGACCATGGTGTAATCTTTACTGGTCAATTTATTGTCTTTCTTGTTTTGTCTTTGCTGTTAGAATGTAAGTTCCTTCAGGATCGGGATCTTGATTTGTTGGTTCATCAATGTTGCCCAGAATCTAGGATATTGCCAAGTGGGTAGATACCTATTTACTAAGTAGGCGAATAGTCAATATTTGTTTTAATGAACGATAGCCAAGCGAATGAAGCATGTGCTGTGTATATTAATAGAACATTCTCATTCCTTTTTAGATGAGCAACAGTTTCGGGATGAACATTGCCAGTGCCATCAACGCGCTGGTCGGCACGGTTTTGCTTTCTATAAATGTAGCATTGAATGCCGAGTCGTTAAGGAGTTGCCAGCTGCTCCAGACCCCAAGCTTATGCGTTTACTTGGGCCTCTTATCAACAGTATGTTTAAAAAATGTTTATTTATAAAACAGTTCTAATAATAAAAAATGTACAGAAAATGATACATTAGACATCATCGGGAGAGAGCTGATGATATCAGGATATCACGCTTGGTAAAATTGCCACCACATGTCAATTCTGACTTAAAGTGATGTGCAAGGGCAGGGGGGACTGCCCCACAAGGTGTCCTAGCCTGCGATCTTTCTGGAAGCGCACTGCCACTTCTCTCTCCACTTTGCCACATATTAGCTTTGTGACTGTGGGCATATTAGATAACCTCTATGTTTTAATTTTTTCATTTCTGAAATGAAAATGATAGTAACACAAATCTCGCACGAGTGGCATAAGGATGGTTGTTTCTAACTCAACAGATAGTGTTGAGTTGATTCTAACTCATAGAGACCCTACATAGAGTAGAACATTGCCCAGTTCTGTATATATGTATGAGGAGTAGATAAGGTAATGTTTGATATGCCTTCAAAATAGCTTAGCTCATTATGTTATTATCATTATTCTTATACTTTGCTTAATGATTATGCTTTAAAAACAACTGTCTGGAGATGCCCCTCACTGGCCCATGGCCCTGC